TTTCTTTGAAAAGCATAGTTACAGAGAGGCAGAGACAGAGACAGATCTTCCATCCACTGGTTCACTCTCCAAATGCTTGCAACAGCCAGGCCTGGTCCAGACTGAAGCCAGTAGCTGAGAACTCAATATGGAATGGCAGGGACTCGAGCACTTGGGACTTGCTGCCTCCCAGGGAGGCCGGAATTGGGAACAAAGCCAGGACACTGACCCAGGAGCGCTGATACAGGATGCGAGTGTCAGGGTCTTAACTGTTACACCAAATGCCCACCCTTGATGCCGTTGATTTCTCAACAACGTTGCAGTGGATTTGTTTCTGAGAGGAGCAGCGTGGTAGGGGCAAGAGGCGCCGAGTCACCACACAGACCCCGGGAGTCGGGTGAAAGCAGGCTTGAGACGAACAGTCCGCAGACTCATTTATTACAGTTGGAACTATATCTTATATAGCCAAGACCAGCCAATCTGGTCAAGGGGCGGTCCTCTTCCACCAATCCCAACTCGGCTGCCCACACGCCGAGTACGCTGCTCTCCTCCAATCAGGAGCAAGATCAGCTCCTGCAGCTCAATCAAATTGGCGAGAGGCAGCTGCGTAGAAGTTGTTACTCCCTTCTCAGCGCCATATTGTGGGAGAGCAGATGCATAGAATAAGTCTTAATTCCAGTAACTTCGTCTAGTCCAAGTTGCTCCCCACAGTTCCTCCGCTCAACACCAGCACACTGGAGACAGCTTCCGGCACGGGAGCCTTTGGGGACCCTCCCAAACCACATTTGAACCCTGAAAGTTGCCAAGGGCTTTCACAGCTCGTTCAAAGGAAGGAGGGAGTGGGGAGAGAGAAAGACAGAAATTAAGAGACACAGGTGATTCTCAGGCTTTTTGGAAAATGATTGATTTATATGAAAGGCAGAGTGAGAGAGAGGCAGAGAAAGAGGGAGAGAGCGAGAGCGAGCGAGCGAGCTTTCATTCTCTGGTTCACTGCCCCAAACGACTCCCACAGTGGGAGCTATGCTGGGCTAAAGCCACCAACCACCAAATCCATCTTGATTGCCACTTGGGAGGCGGGAACCCCAGTACTTGAGCCATCATCTGCTGCTGCTCAGTGGCATCGGCAGGAAGCTGGATTGGAAGTGGAGCAGCCGGGACTCGAAGCTGACAGTCTGATGTGGGATGGGGGTGTTGATACAATGCCCAGGCCAGTTTCTCACGGTTTCTAAGCCAGTGATACCAGGATGTCCCAGTGCTTTGATCCCTCCCTCCATTCCTCACATTGTCCCTTCTTGTGACTTCACAGCCTCGCAGGCCAGGATGGCTGCTGTAGTGCCACAATCATCTCCCAGCCCTTGCTGATCCACTTAGTGTTAATGCCAAGCAAGTTGAGCTTACATCTGCATAAGAAAGAAAGGTGCTGGGACCTGAACGTGTCCTCTCCAGATTCGTAGTAAAGTTGAAACCCAATCTGCAGGCTGATGCTGCTGGGAGGTGAAGTGCTTGTGACTTCTACCTCTGGTGTCCATGTAAGAGAGGCCTGAGAGAGACCACTTGCCAAGATGTGTGTCTGCCTGACTCCCATCATCTGCATCTTCAGTGGCCACTTCCAATCTTGATGGTGAAGAAAACTGACTCTTAAAGACAGAGTCCAACCTGAGATTTTTTTTTTAAAAAGATTATTTATTTGGGCCGGCAACGTGGCTCACTAGGCTAATCCTCCGCCTGCAGCGCCGGCACACCGGGTTCTAGTCCAGGTCGGGGCGCCAGATTCTGTCCCGGTTGCCCCTCTTCCAGGCCAGCTCTCTGCTGTGGCCCGGGAGTGCAGTGGAGGATGGCCCAAGTACTTGGGCCCTGCACCCCATGGGAGACCAGGAGAAGCACCTGGCTCCTGCCATCAGATCAGCTCGGTGCGCTGGCCGCGGCGGCCGTTGGGGGGTGAGCCAACGGCAAAGGAAGACCTTTCTGTCTCTCTTTCTCTCTCACTGTCCACTCTGCCTGTCAAAAAAAAATTACTTATTTGAAAGGCAGTGTGTGAGAGTCAGAGATCTTCCATTCACTGTTTCACTCCTCAAATGGATGCAACAGTCAGGGCTGGGCCAGGCTGAAGCCAGGGGCCTAGAACTCCTGGGTCTCCAAGGTGGGTGGCAGGGGCCCAAGCAGCTGGGTCATCCTCTTTCCCAGATACATTAGCAGGAACTGCACTGGATCCAAAGTGCAGCAGCCAGGACTCAAACCAGTGCTCAAGTGGGATCCCAGAGTTGCACAACTGGTCGTACTCTCTGGTACATCTTTAGTGCCCTGTCTGCTTGCTGACCACCCCTCCACGTGACTCAGAGTAAAGTTCTCTCTAAATTGCAGGGACTGTAAAGACCTTTTATGCCTGATCATCAGGTGAGCCTCCCATTTGTATAACACGAGCGCCACCTTCCTACCTCCACCTGCCATTTTCCTCTCTTCATTGCTTCACACTAATTGTTGCTCCTCTCTGTGTTTGGGAAGAAAAAAAAAAAAATGAAAAATTAGGGGCTAATCCCCGCTTCGGCGCTGGAATGTCAATTAGATTAATTAAAAAAACTAAAAAGAATCATTTTGAAATAGAAAAAAGTGGGGCCTTCATTGTAAGCTGCTGCCTGCAACACCAGCATCCCGCAAGAGGAAGGCAGCAGAGGATGGCCCAAAGACCAGGACCCCTGTCACCCATGCGGGAGATTAGGATAGAGTTCCTGGCTCTGGCTCCTGGCTTAGGGGAGTCAGCAGCAGATGGAAGATCTCTCTCTTTCTCGCCCTTTCTCTGTAACTCTGACTTTGAAGTATATCTTTTTTTTAATTTTTATTTTATTTTTTGACAGGCAGAGTGGACAGTGAGAGAGAGACAGAGAGAAAGGTCTTCCTTTTGCCGTTGGTTCACCCTCCAATGGCCGCCGCAGCCGGCGCGCTGCGGCCGGCACACCGCGCTGATCCGAAGCCAGGAGCCAGGAGCTTCTCCTGGTCTCCCATGGGGTGCAGGGCCCAAGCACTTGGGCCATCCTCCACTGCACTCCCTGGCCCCAGCAGAGAGCTGGCCTGGAAGAGGGGCAACCGGGACAGAATCCGGCGCCCTGACCGGGACTAGAACCAGGTGTGCCAGCGCCGCAAGGTGGAGGATTAGCCTAGTGAGCCATGGTGCCGGCCTGAAGTATATCTTAAAAAGAAAAAAAAAAAAGGAAATCTATGGGAAATATAAAGACCCCACCCCTCCCAATCTCTGTCCCAGATGCTATCCCCTTGGCCACTTGTGTCCTCCACGGTCCTGGTGCAGAAAAGTCAACCCACCCTGCCCTCCACCCTCAGCAGGTACCATGGGGGGCCCCTCTGTCCCCGTGCACCCTGTGGGACACAGACACCATCCCTCCTCTCTGACAAGGTGAGCAGAAGCAACCCAGCTGCGGAGCAACATGAGGGCCCCAGAGAAGCCTGGGCAGGAAAGAGAAAGCGGGAGAGAAACAACAACAACAACAACAACACAGAATCGAAAAAGAAAGAACCACCGAGGGTGTGGGCTCAGGAAGAAAGCGTGTGCTGTCCCCCGCACCCCCTCCTTGCCGGCTGCCATCTCCTAACTGCACACAGGGGCTCCCTCTGCCTGGCTCTTCCCCAAGGTCAGAGCTGTTTTGTCCAGAGCCACTCTTACCCACCAACCGACTGCAGAGTTCTTACATTTGCCTTGGACTTTCCTTTTCTTCTGTTTCCTTGTGGGCTATTCCCTGCCCCCTCCCCCTTGATTTTCTCTTCCACTGTCCCTTTTCTTTGCATGGAAAGGCCTTGGTGAGCTGGCCTTGGATATGGCCGGCAGATGGAGCACGTGAACCCTGAACAAAGCCCATTATCTGCTTGCCATCTCCTCTTCTGTGTTTTCTAAGGACACTTGCCACTGGATTTAGGGTCCAAGACCCTTAATTCTATCTGCAAAGATGGGTTTTCCAAGTGAGAGCACGTCCCCAGGTTCTGGGGCAGGGGCGTAACTTGTTGGGGAGCACCATCCTCTCCCTGTGTGAGGTATTTCTGATGTTTGGAAAATGCACTTTAATCCCCCACCAATCCACTCAGCAATAGTTGTGCACCTGTTACGTGCCCAGGACTATTCTAGGTGCCAGGGACCCAGCGGTGCAGGCTCCAGTTTTTCGTGGAGTTTCCATTCTAGAGCAGGAGATGGACAATGCGTCATTAGACAAATAGGCAAGAAAATATGAAAGAATAAGGCTACGGGGAAAAGGCAGCTGGGACATGTTGCACTGGTAGGAAGCTAGAACTGGGAGCTGAGCTGAGATTCAAATCTAGGCACTTGGACGTGGGATGTGGGCCTCCCTGTTGAAGTCTTAACCACTAGGCCAAACCCTTGTCATTTCCAGAGCTTTGTTGTGTAGGGTTTGTGCCTTGGGCAAGCTAAGTATTCACCAGATTCTGTTGGCAGTAGAAGGTGTGGACATGTTTGCAGAAGCTGGTGCTACTGTAGGTCAGGGCCCATCCCTGATGGAGGCTCCCATCTTCTCTGAGTGTTTGTGGTGGGTGGGGGATGAGGACCGTGGTATCTGTCTGATTTTTCTCTTGCGTCTGCACTAGCAGAGTCTAGAAAAACTCCTGGCATGGTGCTGATGCGTTAACTTCCTCTTTCCTTCCCTCAGTTAGAACCAAGGACCCGTGTCCTCGGTGCACATGCACAGGCAGGTTCTCAGTGGATTAAGGTTGATCGTCCAAATGACGCTAGTGATGGGACGGTACAGCTTCATGGACTACCATTGGAATGCAGCAAAGGGGAAATAGCTCGGTTCTTTCAAGGTGTATTGAGATCTTTAGAAGTAGCAGGAGTGAAATCAAGACCCACCAGGAAGATTGCTGGGACAGCGACCGGGAGCATATGAGAGACCAATAGGAAGTAGAGGGGGTTATCAGGGAGCTGGATGAGAAAGCTCTGGAGGCTTTGATGACACTGTGGCAGCTATAATAACTATGGCTATGGAAATGATAGCTTTGATGACAGAATGAGAGATGGAGGTGGCATGAGAGGGCATGGCTCTTGGGGAGCTGGTGATGCAAGTTCAGGGTTTTATGGTGGTCATTTAGTATATATGAGAGCATTACTTTTTTATGCAACTGAAAATGACATTGCTATTTTCTTCTCACCACTAAATCCAGTACAAGTTCATGGTGATATTGGAGCTGATGCCAAAGCAACGGGAGAAGCAAACGTAGAGTTCGTGATACGTGAAGACTCAGTAGCTGCCATATCTAAAGATAAAAATAGTGTGCAACATCGATACATAGAACTCTTCCTGAAGTCTACTGGCAGCTCTGGCATGGGAGGTTCTGGAATGGGAGGCTACGGCAGAGATGGAATGGGTAATCGGGGAGGGTATGGATCTGTTGGAAGAATGGGGATGGGGAACAATGACCGTGGAGGATACGGCCCTCCTGATGGCTTGGGTGGTTATGGCCACGGTGGTGGAGGCAGTGGACGGTACTAGGGACAAGGCGGCTTGAGTGGAGGTGGGTGGTGTGGGACGTACTGAAAACATGACCACCAGCAAACATACAAGTCCCAACAACAGTATCTGGTCTACTAGACGTCCTTACAGATTTCTTTTGTATTTTAAAAACTTTATAGTGATTGAAGGAATGTGTTTTCAAAATATTGTTTGGTAAAGCAGAAGATTGTGATGGGAAAATCTGTTTTCTGTAGGTTTTATTGGTTGCATACTTTGACTTAAAAATACATTCCATATTCAAACCACACACACACAAATCCTTTTGACACTAACCTGAAGAGCCCCGTCCTCTGGTGCGTAGGAGAGTCCATTATGGAAAGAGACATTCGGCTGAAGGACGGACGAAGAGCATCTGATGTCTCCATCTGAAACCCTAGAAGAGCTAAGACTCAAACCGCAGAGCTCTGCAGACAGTGGGAAGACAGCGGGAGGGGGAGAGACCTTGGCCTGGGGAGTCTCCAATGATTAAATTAACAGATTTAACTCAGGATTGAGATCATGTCTTTTTCTTTTTTTTAAATGTATTTATTAGAAAGGCAGAGGGAGGGAGGGAGGGAGGGGGGAGAGAGAGAGGGAGGGAGGGAGAGAGAGAGAGAGAGAGAGAGAGAGAGAGATCCCTCTGCTGTTCACTCTCCAAATGCCCACAACAGCAAGGACTGGGCCAGGCTGAAGCTGGGAGCCCAGAACTCAGTCTTGGTCTCCACATGGATGGCAGGGACCCGCGCTTGAGCCACCGCCTGCTGCCTCTTCAGGCCTGCACACACAGGAAGCTGGAATCAGGAGTGGAGCTGGGACTGGAGCCCAGGCAGCCCTGTGAAGGATGTGAGGTCCCCTGCAGCGTCTTAACCACTCAGCCTGCCTCAAGGGCCTGCTCTTTAGTGGGTGGTCCCCTTGTTATCACACTGCAGGGTGAAGCTGAATGGGAGACCCTTCAGGGAGGAGGAACGGTCACATAGGTAAGTTATAATCTGGCTAGGCGTCTGGCATTCCCTGGGTGATCGTCCTGTGTTGGGCAGTGGACTGAGAGTGCCGTCCATTTCCTCCCCACTGTGGTCTGGGTGTTTGTGTACCCCTGGTGTGGCATTGTGGAGATGTGGGGCCTCTGGGGACGTGACTGTCGTGCAGTGGGGTTAGTGGCTTCACAAAGGAGACTGCAGGGGAGCAGCCCCGCCCTCTTCCACTGGGCAAGGACGCAACGAGGGGGGAGCAGAGCACGAACCCCCACCAGACACCAAGTCTGCCGGCACCTTGACCTTGGGCTTGCCAGCCTCTAGAACTTTGAGAAATAGATTTCCATTATTTATAAACACTCAGTTTAAGGCATCTTGTTGGAGTTGGCCGATCAAGCTAAGGCACTCCCCCACTGCCCCTCTGTCCCCAAGATTGGCTTCACTGAGTCGTGTCCATGAATGGGTAGTGATTTCTCCTATCTTTCAAGTCAGGATGGAGGCAGTTGCAGATCTTCTATATTCTAGAAGGTTCCATTTTTTTAACCCTCTGGGTTACCTATAGGTAAGAGGAGGAATCATGTAGGAAAGTCCGAATTCTGTTGCAGTAACAAAATCCCCAAGGCTGGGTACTTTTATGGAGAGATTTATTTGACTCTGGGTTCTTATAGCTGGAGGATCCAAAGCACACAGCACCAGGGTCCTGGTGAGGGCCCCCTGGCTGTGTCACAACGTGGTGGAGGAAAGGGAAGGGAATTGGCTGCATGAATTTCTTGGGAGTACAGGGTGCCTGTGACCCCATGACCTCTTTGCCCCACCTCTCAAGGATTCCACCCCCTCAACAGCACTGCCTGGAATCAAACTTCTGGCACACAGAGCTTTGGGGAAAACACTCAGACCCCAGCAGCCAACAAGGTGCAAGCCTGGTTAGAGGGACAATCAATGCCCTATACCATGTCCCTGCCTAGTGCCCTTCGTGTTTTTCATTCCTGAGTGTTTCCTTTTGCTGCTACAACAAGTTACCACGCACATGGTGGCTTCAGAACGTGTTTATTATTTTACAGCCCTGTGGGTTGGAAGTCTTCCCTGGCTAACCTGGGTGCCTCAGGGCTGTGTTCCTTTCTGGGAAATTCTTCCTGGGATCCCAGTGAAGAATCCACATCCTCATGGCTGTTCCCAGCCTGTGTTCCCTGGCGGGGCACCTGCCGTTTCAAAGCCGGCACTGGTGGGCTGAGTCTGATTGTTCCAGCCTCCCTTTTTCACATTCTCGGCCGACTGTGATGGGTGGGCGTTTGGCCTCATCCCATATCGCAGTGGCTGGTTTGGTCCCCGCTTCTCTGCCTCTGGTCCAGCTTTCTGCCAATGTGGCTGGGAGGCAGCAGATGATGGCCCAAGTGCTCGAATCTTTGCCACTCACGTGGGAAACTTGGAGTGAGTTCTGAGCTCCTGGCCCAGCCCTGGCTGTTGTGGGCATTTGGGAAGTGACAGCAGATGGAGGATCATTTTAAACAAAATAAAGATAAATCAATACAGATATATTTCTAAAAAGGAAAGTAGTCAGTTAAACAAATAAAGATGGGGCTGGCACTGTGGCGAAATGGGTAAAGCCGCTGCCTGTGATGCTGGCATCCCATATGGGTGCAAGTTCGAGACCTGGCTGCTCCACTTCCCATCTGGCTCCCTGCTAATGTGCCAGGGAAAGCAGAGAAGGATGGCTCAGGTGCTTGGGCCCTTGTGCCCACTTGGGAGATCTGGAAGAAGCTCCTGGCTCCTGGCTTTGGCCTGTCCCCACCCTGAACATTGCTGCCATCTGGGGGGGTGAACCAGTGGGTGGAAGATCTCACTTTTTTCTTCCTCTCTCTGTGTAACTCTGACTTTCAAACAAATTAATTAATTAATTAAAAAATGCCCGGATAATATCAGACATCTATTTTAATTTAATTTATTTATTTGAGAGAGGGTAAGAAAGTAAGTTCCCACCTGCTAGTTCACTCCCTAAACGCCTGCAATGGCCAGGGCTGGACCAGGAAAAAGCCTGGGCCAGGAACTCCATCTGGGTCTCCTACATGGGTGGTAGGCATTCAGCTACTTGAGCCATCACCTGCTACCTCCCAGAGCTCACACCAGCAGGAAGCCAGAATTGGGAGCAGAGCCCGGACTCAAACCCAGGCACTCAAATATGGGTGTGGGTATCCTACTTGGCGTCTTTACTGCTAAGCCAAATGCCCACCTTATCTTCCTGTTTATACCCAGTTGATTATCAGCCTTTATTCTTTGTGGAGCCCCAATTTCCCTTTGCTATGTAGGGCGTCACAGTCCCAGGTTCCTGTGGGTAGACCATGGACACTGTTGGAGGGGGCAGGGAGAAGAACTCTTCCACCATAATTCCTCTCAAAAAGGGCAAAAATAAACAGGGTGCTTTTATTTTTAGTTTTTGATTATGGATTAGTGTTCTATGTAGAGATCTTAAAGCACAATTTCATAAACATAATTCAAACCAAAAAGTGCTTTGGCAAACTTGCAAGCCTGAAGCATAAGCTTTTATATAGAATTGCAAATACATTTCTGTAAAGGGCATCAGTACAGTCTTTTTCTTTTTAAAACTAGGCTGGAGGGGCCTGTGCTGTGGCGCAGTGGCTTAAAGCCCCGGTCTGCAGTGCCAGCATCCCAGGTGGGCGCTGATTCCAGTTCCAGCTGCTCCACTTCCTATCCAGCTCTCCGCTATGGCCTGGGAAAGCAGTAGAGGATGACCCAAGTCCTTGGGCCCCTGCACCAAGGTGGGAAGACCTGTAGGAAGCTCTTGGCTCCTGGTTTCAGATTGACCTAACTCTGGCTGTTGTGGCCATTTGGGGAGTGAACCAGTGAATGGAAGACCCCTTTCTTTGCCTCTGCCTCTCTTTCAAATAAGTAAATAAATTTAAAAAAGAGAGAAGCCCACCTCATCCCATTTTAAAAAAACTAAGCTGGAGTTATTTAAACCAGTTTAAAAATGATTTACTTATTTTTATTCGAAAGGCAGAGAGAGAGAGGAGAGGAGAGATTGATTTTTCATCTGCTGATTCCCCAAATGGCTGCAACATCCAGGCCTGGGTCAAGCTGAAGCCAGGAGTCAGGACCTCTGGGTCTCCTGCGGTGGGTGGCAAGGACCCAATACTGGACCATCTTCTGTTGCTTTCCCACACACCTTAGTAGGTAACTGGATTGGAGGCAGAGCAGCTGGGACTCCAATCAGCACTCTGATATGAGATGCTAGTGTCATAAACAGTGGCTTAACCCTCTGCGCCACAACACTGGCCCCATAAGCAAATTTTGATTTCATTCTGAAAGAATAAATACACTCTTCTAGGTTTTAAATCTGGAAAATGCTAAAGGTGGGACAGGTGTTTGGCTTGATGATTAATATGCCGCTTGGATACCTGCACCCCTTATCAGTGTGGAAGGTCTGAGTTCCACTTCTCTGCTTCTTATCCAGCTTCCTGCCGATGTTAGTGCATGCTGGGAGGCAGCAGATGATAGCTCAAGTACTTGGGTCTCTGCCAACCACATGGGAGCCCTGGATTGAGTCCCGGAGTCCTAACTTTAGCCTGGCCCAGCCCCAGCTGTGCTGGGCATTTTGGGGAATGAACCAGGGGATGGCAAATCTCTGTCTGTCTCTGTCTCTCTGCCTTTCAAAACAATAAAAAAATTAAAAATTAAAAAAGAAAATACTAAACATGTTAAAATATTAAATGTATTAAATATGTTTGTATATTTCTTATTCATGTGTCAGGTAGAAAATATAGCACCAGTAGGTATTACTATATATGATGAATGAGAGGGGAAATATTTACAATACTAATTTCCCAACTTATTGATGAAGAAGTTTAGGGTAATCACAGAGATGGGAAGTTCTTCTGCATTGCATCTCTGTTTAGTGTGGTGTGCCTTCTCTCAATACTTTTAGTGTAAATGTGTTACAAACTTTCCAAATATTACCATTTCTTAGAAATAATGATGACCAGAGACTGGCACTTCGGTGCAGCAGTTTAAGCCACTGTTTGCAAGGCTGGCACCCCATTTGAGTACCAGATCAAGTCCTGGCTGCTCCACTTCTGATCCAGCTCCCTGCTAACAAACCTGGGAAGGCGGCCGGCGCCGCGGCTCACTAGGCTAATCCTCCGCCTAGCGGCGCCGGCACACCGGGTTCTAGTCCCGGTCGGGGCGCCGGATTCTGTCCCAGTTGCCCCTCTTCCAGGCCAGCTCTCTGCTGTGGCCAGGGAGTGCAGTGGAGGATGGCCCAAGTGCTTGGGCCCTGCACCCCATGGGAGACCAGGAGAACTACCTGGCTCCTGGCTCCTGCCATCGGATCAGCGCGGTGCGCCGGCCGCAGCGTGCCAGCCGTGGCGGCCATTGGAGGGTGAACCAACGGCAAAGGAAGACCTTTCTCTCTGTCTCTCTCTCACTGTCCACTCTGCCTGTCACCAAAAAAAAAACAAAAAACAAAAAAACCTGGGAAGGCAGTGGAACATGGCCCAAGTGCTTGG